AAAGACCTCCTAAATTTTGGGCAAATTTTAAAAGTATAGAAGTCACTTTCTATCCTACCTTTTAAAAAAATAGCTCTATTAGTTGATATAATATGTCTTTAGTTTTAATGTAATAAAGAGATTTTCTCAAAAAAATTAATTGTTGTAGAGTCTATTCTTTTTTAAAACATGTGCTTTACTATGCTCGCGAGAAATTTTCCACTATGATCATTTCTAAATTTAGGAAAAATAGTACCAAATTTAGACTAGCTTTTGACTATCGTATCTAAATTTGGCAGTAAGAAAACTAAAATCACGTGGAGTCCTATTTTTTGAACGAATTACAAAATTGCTATTTTGGCTTCATGGCGCAGCAATAGGAGGTCTTTAGACCAAACCAACCATAACAGTGTGTTCGTTCAGCAATGATACCATTAACCAAACTAAATACATTATGAATTTCTAGAATATTTGCGAGATTTGCTCTTGTTGCTGATACGAGATATACACGACCTAATGAAGGTACATTTCTGAACAAATATTGCCTTTGTAGATCCTCAACGATATTATAACACTTTTGAAAAACATGAAAGACCATCAACACAAAAAAGAGATTCAGATAGAGTGGATGCGATTGCTGGAGTAGCGGAATGAGTAGGTAAAAACTGCCGAACGGATGTTGGATAATTATCACAAATTCCTGTTAAAAAATTAAATTAGAAAAACCTTTCAAATAAAAGTAATATATTTTTTAAAATCATTTTTAAACATACTAGTAATTATAGTATTTTTTGGGATTCCTCGTTGTAATAAACCATTCTCATTCCATTCTACAACCATTACCAAAGGATCGAGATCACCATCTTCACATTTTGCTTGGACCATGTTGAACCATTGAGTAACTTCATTGTTCATTTTCTCACTAATACATTATTCTTTTTGGTCTATTGTGTTAGATATGTATGAATAAAATTCTTTTGACTTTGCTAATTAAATAGAATCATAGAAAACAACAATTATACCTGAAGGTCAACCGAGAGAAAGTTTCATATAAAGCCAAGAGAAGAAGAATAATGCAAATAATAGAAATAGTGATGAACGAAAAAATAAAAGTTATTAAAGGAAATTCCTATATATATACAGAAAAGTTCTTTTTATGAAATATACAAAAACCTACAGAAAAGGAAATTTAATTGTGGCTTAAATTGTTGTATATAAGCGTGACATTTAATAGTGATGTGATGGATGATTAAAATTTGTGGGTTGGGGGTGGTAGGAATTACAGAGCATTTACCAACTCTAAAAATCTTATTGTCGCGTAGGTTCTGTATAAAAAGAACCTTTCTGTATAAATGTTAATTAAAAAATAGCTATCCTTACTTTTTTTTTGGTTAAGAAGGATATCATCATATATGGCTAATGACTAACGTTCAATATTATAAGCTTAGTAATGTCGCTGGTCAGAATAATAAGATTGTCAATTTATATTATATTATGCGTACATATTAATTATTAATATGTGAAGTGAAATTAGCCAATTAAAAAGGAATTTCTCACCCATATTTGATTGCGCTGCTGCTTCCTTTAATGCGCCACTTCTATTTGAGCGATTATCGTGAAACTTTTAGAAAAGTTAAAGCTTTCATATTATATAAATAAGATTATGATTTGTCTATTGAAAACGTGATTTTACATATACATCATCTTGAATTAATGATCAAGAAAGGTTGTATGTATCGATATTGAAATCTATCCCTTTCAATCAGGGCTGGCCATAATTGTCTTGACTTGACATAATCATAATGACTAAACAGTTTAGTCGGTCTAACCAAATGCTCATTTGGGTTACGTGTCCAGCCCTGCTTCCAGTAATCTTTATTCTCTCATCTAATGTTCACTTTTCTGTGATGCAAAGAATACAATTATCATCTTTCAAAACTTTCGAACTTCATAATGCTATCAAAACAAACAATACACCTGCGAAGAAATAAGATGATTTTGATCTCGTGTCAAAAACATTAAACACACCACCTGGATCCTTTGTCTTCTTAATGGCTTTTCAGTGATGCTGGAAATCAAATAGCTTCAAAAGAACAAAGGTTAGGATATAAAATTGTCAAAGAAATTTTATTTTTTAATTTAATAAAATAAATTTGTTACGACTGGTTAAAGATTTTATGCAACATCAATTAAGCAATTATAACAACTAAACGACGATTACAATTACTTCAACAAATTTTTGAACTAATAATGTAGCAGGAAAAGCTGCAAAAACGACAACATCTTATAATAAAAATTATCGCAAAAATAGAAAGAAAAAAGGAACACTTTGTTCTCTTCAACTATTTATGTCATAGCAATGGAAGTTTATAATAAAAGACTCGTGTTATTATAATAAATACTATGATAGGGAATTGATATCATAACAACAACAGCAACAAATACGTACTTTATATTGAAGGTGAGGGTGGTGGCGGTGGAATCGGAAGGTGATTGTGAGGACGATGACAGTGATAATGAAAATAAATAATCTTTTATTCTTTATAAAAAATAATTTCTAATCATTTGAAGACTACTAAAAAATTTATGTGAGCTTTTAAAGTTTGTTAATGATTTAAAACATCAAGCATTTTTCTTTAATAAATACATCAGAAATCCCCTATATATATTTTGTCAAATAATCTATGTAGAAAACACGCAAGAGCGTATATTTTACATGTATATTAATTATAACTTAGAAAGATCTTGTTCTCTATTATTATATGCTCATATGTGTTAAACGAATTCTTATATTTTAGACAATTGATTTAAAGAAAAAAAAAATCTTTGCCAAAACTCATTCTTAATCTTTCTATTATGCAGAGATGGATTTGTATTGGGTTCATTACATTAATACCAGCTTTGGCAATTTGTGATTCATTGGAAAGCTAATCAATTGAAATAAAACATCGCATTCAACAATTCTAAAGGCAAAGCCACATTATCAGGTAAAATGATACGTGATTATGACATTATTTCATTTGTAGAGAAAATACATCAAAAATATTTGAAATTCCTTAAAGTAAGTGTGAATTAATAAAAATGTTAACATAAAACTTACATTCTCTTCATTACTTTCAAAAGATATGTATGGACAATAGAATTTTAATAAAGATAATCTAGATTTAGAGAATTTCTTGAAGCAAGTGATAATGCGATCTGCAAAATAGTTAATTAACAAAATTGGCAAAGAAAGCGAATGGATCCAACAAAATCTAGTTTACTTGTATCAGCAAATCAATTACTCAAGACCATTGGAATCTGCTGACATGGAAAGAATCGAAAAATCCAAGCTGAATTATGTCTCTTTTTATTAAAAAGGTGCTATATTATTGGAGGTCGCAGGTCAACTTAGCCTTTGCATACCGAGGAAGATGAACAATGTTTTAAATCTTCAAATTCATGGATTTTAATAATCAACCAAACGTTACATGCTGAATTGTTTTTGGTGTTCGAAATCGTCCAAGAGCAGTTTCCACGAGAGAAAGATATTTTCCATGGTTACGTTATCTAACATACCAATCGTTTGTATATGTCATGATATGGAATGATTACCCATACTATGTAATGTAAAAGACATGATAAAACTTTGCCTCACATTACGTTTAGCTATTGTGTATATATATAAAAAAAGATATCAATGCAAAGAAAATAACTATAGATCTACAAAAAAATTGTTTTTTAAATAAGGGTCGTACAATCCTACACTTCAAAAATCATTTCTCGCGTTTAATTTGGAGAACAAAGATGACTTATAAAGAAAAAGAAAAAAAAGAAGAAAAAGAGAAAAAAGGATTCAAACATTCAGAAGAAAACTTCGTGTGTTTAATTATATTATATATAAATTTTAGGGCATTTAATTCTCAACTAATTATATTTAATGTTACATTGAATAGGCGATGGCGATGGTGATGATGATTCGGATAGGACCTTATCAAATTAGGAAATAAAAGCATTCTTACAAATTTTATATGATGAATACACAAATTCAAACCTGACATATCTGTTAATATTTCAGAGTTCTAGTCGATGACAATGAACGGCCACCATTTCAACAAACCCGTTGCCAGTTTTAAATTACATTCCCATTACATTTTTTTGTATTGGATTGAAAATCAAAGACTTACATTAGAAGTCATTGAAGACAATGATGCTAATGTTGCACACATGAATCGAAAAACATAAAGATAAATAAAATATTGAGGATTCGTTGTACAACATATCTATCTGACCAAGCCACACACTGATGAAAAGTGATCTTGAAACAGACAGAGATTATTCCTTATTATTATTAAATCCAAGTATTATTTTTTCACGATAGTAAAAATAAAATAAACCAAGTTTCAACAAAATATTGATACTTTTCCACAATCCCTGTTCTCCCATTTTCATCATCAATTTTTTTCTATTGTTTCCACAATTTCCTTCTTTATAGTGTTGGCGTTAAACAGCATTAAAATCCAACACGTTCAAGTAATTATTGTTGATTGGATTATTTATTTTTAATTATACTATTGACCATTAACCTACAATTAATTGATATTCCCATGGGATTATTAATACGAAATTCCATTTTAAATTTGTAGTTGATCACATGCACCATTTTTTAAGAAACGTGTAATTATTATTATTTTATTTATTATTATTATTATTTCCGGTTTTTTCCCGAAAAAGATTTTAATTCATTGTCACAAAACCATAATAATAATAGCCATTATCTCCGCAATCGTAAACAGTAGCAATTAGTAATGTCAAAATTATTGGTTAACATTGAAAATCAAATTAACCCTTAAATGTCCAATCATTATATCGCGACTATAACCTTGAAAATTTGATTGGATTGATTAAAAAAAATGTAAATAAATAATTTTCTTTTATATAAGGCTTTGAAATATATTCTACTTTTTAAAAATAAAAATTATAATGGATCAATTTACAAATTCGATTTTTTCAATAAATAACACCAACAACAACGTTATCATTTCATCATCATCAGCAGCAACATCGTCAATCCATAATTTCCTTACTAATTCTGAGACACAAAATAATAAGTTTCCATTACCAACATCCATATTAAACCAAAAGGTTTTAATATCCATCACAGGGCCTCATGGCACTGACATAATTGGATGTGTTTTAGGATGTATGGCTAAACATGAATGTGAAATTGAAGATTTTACATTATTTAGACTTTATCATAATGTTACATTCAGTGTTCTAACCACCATGAAACATGAGAACGTAGAATTATTTTGTGATCTTTCTGATGCTGCTAGAAAGTGGGATGGTAATTTAACTATTGATTTACAAGGTGTTGCTGATCAAGAAAAACCAATAAAACCATTAGAGGAGGCACCTTATGATAATCGAATCAAATATGCCGCAACGGTATTAAACCAAAATGGGCTCACAGCGAAATTTATGGATGAATGGACAAAATTACTATTGCGAGAAAAAATATCTGTAGAAAAAATGCAACGACTGAATGAAGGAAGGTTGTCTTGTGCTGATTATAAGCTTTCAGTACCTTTAGGAACAGACTTTGACAGATTGAGACAAGACCTATTTCAATTAAGTGTAAGCCATGGTACTGATGTTGCACTTCAACCTTTTGATGTATTTAGAAGGCATAAAAGATTGGTAGTGTTTGATATGGATTCTACATTGATTCAACAAGAAGTAATTGATGAAATTGCTAGGATTGCTGGTGTTGTGAATGAAGTAGCAGTATGTTGTGTTTCTTTTGTATAATTAATCATTTTAAAAAACACTCTTGTATTAATTATCATCATCATCAATAATATTTAAGATGATAACAGAATTGGCGATGAATGGTGAAATTGATTTTAAGGAATCGTTAAAACGACGTGTTTCTTTATTGAAAGGGACACCTGTTGATGTCATAGAAGCTGTCAAGAAAAAAATCATCTTCACAGAAGGAGCACACTTTCTTTGTAAAGCACTCAAAAAAATTGGATTCAAACTTGCCGTTATTTCTGGTTTGTGTTATTATTATTATTATTTTTTTTTTCGTTTATTTATCAAATATTTAATTATATTTTTGATTTATAAAAAAGGTGGATTTATGCCGTTAGCAAACTATGTAAAGAATGAACTTGGATTAGATTATGCTTTTGCAAACCAAGTATGACATTCTTTAGTTATATTTTTAGGAGTGGTTTTTTAAAAAACAAATTAAATTAACAAATAAACTAATTTTAATTAGTTAAAAGTATCATCTGATGGTTTAACATTGACTGGTGAAACAGTCGGGCCAATAATTGATGGAGGTCGTAAAGCTGAATTATTGGAAGTGATAGCTCAAGCTGAAAATGTTACATTGGATCAAGTGATTGCTGTTGGTGACGGTGCAAATGATTTATATATGTTGGCTAAAGCTGGTTTAGGCATTGCATTTAATGCAAAACCGCGAGTCCAAGAAAAGGTAAGCTACGTTAACAACAATTACAATTACAATGACAATGGTTATTATCATTATTTTTAATGCTAAAGTATTAATTTTTGTTATATTTATATTAAAAAACATAGGCTAGAGCTAGAATCAATCAAAAAAGTTTAAAATATGTGTTATATTTGTTAGGATATACAGATGAAGATGCAAAACAATTGTATTTTACTAATGATTGAAATATAATATAAATTTCTTGTTAATAAATAATCTCTTGTAAATTATATATCAAAGTTTATAATTACATCAAATAGGCCAATAAAATTATTGTGAATTTTTTATACAATGCAAAAGATCTACTCAATAACTTGATCCCACAAAATTAATAATTTCTTAATTTTTATTTTCAAAATTCAAATTGACAAGATTAACTACTCTCTCGATGTTCTTCTCAATATTGTTAGGAAGACTAGGTCTTTGGTAAAAAGTAACAATCGTGGAACTTTGGTAAAAGGCCATGTTTTATTTGTAAGCAAATTTAGGACTAAGGTTAACTCTAATAAAATCGTGATTGTATGCATAAGGCTGTCATATAAAACATTTCATGGAAAATGTACACTGATACGAAACATTCCAGTGAAAGAGCGCTTTTACGCATGTTTTACACGGGATACATATTAATATGGGATTTACGAAAACTAATACGGGAAATATAAATTCCGTGAGTTAATATTAATATTAATATTAATATTAATGTCAATAATATGGAAGTCATACAGAATTTATCTTTTCCCATAGATCCCATATTAATATCAGATATGTATCCCGTATATTTTCTGTTATGGTAATTCTGGAAAACATACTAATACTAATACTAATACGAAAAAATAGTAAATTCCTGGAATTATTTTTCATGGGGCATGATTTCTTGCATATTAAAAAGTCGTTTACTAGTTGCATACAAGCAGGAGCTGTTAAAAACTTTCTGACTGCTTTTTTAATATAAGAAATATCAGTTGAGACTGTCACAAAAGATGATCAAGTAAATAGAATCAATGCATTTGTCAGGTCAAGACTTTGTACCGAACGAATAAGCGTTGAAGTAACAATATTTTCATTCTGATATTCGCCATTTAAAGTTTTTTTCATCTCTGATGATTCGAACTATAGAAGCCATTGACGCAATCAAACATACTTTTGTGATAAAGTGGACTTTTTGGCCAAGTGATAATATACGTGATATGGTCAAGAGAATGATTATTATTATGTAAATAAATTTTAATTCTTACTTTAACATCAAGTAGTAAATTTATATGGAACATGCTGCAACAAAAAGAGCTGTTCTGTTCCTTGTTACACGATCAAAACTAATTTTTATCGGCTGATAGGGAGAAACAAATTTAGGGTTGGTCCGGTCTCGATCCCAAAGACCGGTCTTTGGGGACTGGTTAAAGATTGTTTAAAGGCTAACTCAACAGCGTTTTGATGTGAATTACATATTGGGAAGGTCGATTTTCGGAGAACCTCGATTATTTCATGTTTTATGGCCGAGCTCGAGTTAACTTTTTAGCTACGCTCGTCGATTAATTGTAAGCTTTTATGTACAATGTTCGTCGATTAATTTATTTTACGAAATTATCCTGTTTGTTGCCCCTTTCTTGTACCTAGAAAGCTTCGGCGATACCAAAGACCACTGGCGTGTGGAAATATGCCCTTGAGCCAGAATATGGAGAAATTGCAACAAACTACAACTAACGGACAATATTATAAATTTAAACGTGATGGAGATTTAAAGAATTCGAGAAATTTTGATTTTACATTTCCAAAAGTTTCTTCTTCTTGACAAAGTTTACGTGCAAAAAATTGTCCAAGTTGTGTGGTGAAGTGTTTCATTGTGTAGGTCTTGGACTGTCTTCAACAAGAGCCAAAAGTGCTAATTTTTGTTAATGTCATTATCAATAATAATAAAGTTTGAGAGCTTTCGACGTTACACAATAAAATTCATTTTCATTTTATCAAAATTTTTGTGATACCGACATGGAAGGCGAAATGATGTCATTTTAGGCACTCCCCTAATACTAATCTTTGTTGAATGAATAAATAGAAAAACCATTGCGAATCATTTTTTCCCAATTTTTTTTCATTAAAACATCCCTTCTATCACTTTAAATAAAATAAAAAAATAAAGAAAATGAAATATATCTTGATATCAGGCGGAGTAATTTCTGGTATCGGAAAAGGAATATTCGCCTCTTCTTTAGGATTCTTGTTAAAAACATTTGGATTAAAAGTCACTGCCATAAAAATTGATCCATATATGAATATTGATGCTGGAACAATGAGTCCAATTGAACATGGTCAGTCAACTAATTTGCTAATAATCGTATGAATTTTAAAATTATTAAAATTGTTAAATTAATACATGATAATGATGATCAATTAGGGGAAGTATTTGTATTAAATGATGGCGGTGAAGTTGATCTTGATCTTGGAAATTATGAAAGATTTTTGGATGTAACTTTGACCAGAGATAATACTATCACTGCAGGAAAGGTTTATTTAAGAGTGATTGAAAAAGAGGTTTGAAATATTAAGCATTTATATTATTTTTATTGAGGAAAAAAGGGTATCTACCATGTATTCTAAATTTTAAAATCATTTTTAGAGGATATTCATCATTACTAATAAGCATTGATGTTTTTTTTTTTTGCTAAATAGCGTAAAGGAGGATATTTGGGTAAAACTGTTCAAGTGGTAAAGAATATTTAATAATATAATCTATCTATAAACCAATCAATCTATCAAGATATAACATACTTGTTATTATAACAACATTATAAGGTTCCACACATAACTGATACTATTCAAGAATGGATTGAAAAAGTTGCCAAGGTTCCTGTGGATCAGACTAATCAAGAACCTGATATATGTATAATTGAAGTAAGTGCATATAATTTATAAAATAGATTATTTGATGATTATTATCATTATTCATTTATTTGACATTAATATTGATAGTTGGGTGGCACTGTTGGCGATATTGAATCTGCTCCTTTTGTGGAAGCAATGAGACAATTTCAATTCAGAGTAGGATCTGAGAATTTTGCTTTAGGTCATGTCTCATTAGTACCTATAATTGGAACGGTTGGCGAGCAAAAATCTAAACCTACACAAACCACAATAAGAGAATTAAGAGCTTTAGGATTATCCCCTGATCTCGTAATATCATGGTTTTTCATTAATTATTGTTTATGGTTATATCAATCAATCAATAAACAGAATTTATTGATTTTTCTGCTTAGATTGCTTGCAGATGCTCAATACCATTAAAGCCAGATGTTAAGAATAAGATTTCAATGTTTTGTCATGTTGGGAAAGATCAAGTATGGAAAAGGATTGAGAAAGAAGAAAAAATTTGATTTTTTATTAAAGTAAAATGATGTTGATATATTGTTTTTTTTTTTTTTTTTTATTTTTTTTATTTCTAGGTTATTTCAGTTAAAGATGTTGTCTCTATTTATCATGTCCCATCATTATTGAAAGAGCAAGGTGTCTTGGAATTTTTTATTAAAAGATTGGGATTAGATAAAATTCCAATTTCACAAAATCAAAAAAAAGAAGTAGAAAATTTATTAGAAAATTGGAATGACACATTGACAATAGAGTATATTATACAAATATTATTATCATCATTTGTTATTATTGTTTTTTTTTAAAAAAAAAATGAACGAATTAAAATCATTATAGGTATGAGCCTGTTGTCAACATTGTTTTAGTTGGAAAATACACTGATCTACACGATTCATATCATTCGGTCATTAAGTCACTTGAACACTCAGTATTAAAATGTAGAAGAAGATTGGTTTTAAAAGTGAGTTATTAAAAAATTTATTTTATTTTTAATATAAAAAAAAGTTTTTTTTTTTTTTTTCAAAACAATTTTATTTATTTATGGTAACCATATATTAAAAGTTGATTGAAGCTTCTCATTTAGAAGATTCAACAAATCAAACTGTGCCTGATAAATATAAAGAATCTTGGGATACTTTAAAATCTGCTGATGGTATCTTGGTTCCAGGTGGATTTGGTAATCGTGGTATTGAAGGAAAAGTTTTGGCAGCCAGATGTGCAAGAGAAAATAAAATTCCTTTTTTGGGTTTGTTTTTTTAAAGAATTGCAATACGTACATATATATTTGTTTATAATTAATTATGATATTGATAATAAATTTGATCATAATAGGAATATGTTTAGGTTTACAAATTGCAGTGATTGAATTTGCTAGAAATGTTTGTAATCTTAAATGTATGTACTTGTATTCATATATATATGAAAATTATAATTTATTAGATCATAATTATTTAATCCATAAATTCATTTCCTATTTCCTCATAGGTGCGAATTCTGAAGAGTTTGACCCAAAAGCAAAACATCAAGTAGTGATCAATATGCCAGAAATATCTACAACAGAATTTGGAGGTACAATGAGATTAGGTCTGAAGCCTACAATATTTCAGGAAGAAACTAAATCTTGGTCAAAATTACGTGAGTGTTTCCAACCAACCAATTAACTAATTCAAATTCGTTAATACATTATAATTTGACTTTGGTTTTTTTCTTTTATATAGACAAGCTTTATGATAAACAAATCATATTAGAACGTCATAGACACAGATATGAAGTTAATCCTGAATATGTAGCAGAATTAGAATCAAATGGATTGTATTTTGTTGGTAGAGATGAACTAAATAGACGAATGGAAATAATGGAACTTAAAGATCACCCATATTATGTTGGAACGCAATTTCATCCTGAATATCTTAGTAGACCACTTAATCCCTCGCCAACATTCCTTGGTTTTATTCAAGCTTCATCTAAATTGCCTATTTAATTCTGTTATTGTTTTGATTAATAATTCTTTTTTAAAACTTTTGATTTTATATTTATCTATGATTAAAAAAAAAGACAGTATTTATTCAGATAAGTTAATCATATGTTCATACTTGCAACTTTTGACAAGTAAATAGTTTTAGTTTCCAAATATTTTAATTCTACCAACATCATCAGGACTAGCAGGAAAAATTTGTCAAAATTCCACATTAATGCTTAAAAAAGATAATTCGTTGTCAATAAAACAAGCAATGATAAAGCCATTTTGTAAATTCAAATGAAATTGAAGCAAGGCTCCGCGTGAGCCGACTTACAAGCCAGATCGTGAAGAGCTTTAAATCAAAGATTTTTGAATATGGAATAGGCTTTAGTGTTAGAACAAAATAATTCTTTTAGCCTTTAAAGAACATGGTATTTGACATCTTTTTATATCGCTAATTCTTACTTCTAATAACCAAATTTTTACAATTCATAAAGTTTTGAGCCTTATTATTATTTAGTCAAGTTCACCCTAAAATTAGTTTTTTAAAAACATGCCATTGATGCCACTAATCGCCGTTTGGTAAAGTCTCTTCAATTAATATGATCGATTCACATGGAACAATGAAAAGATTTGCAAGAGAAAGATTTTGACGAAAATGGATGCACAGCAAGTTCAAGAAGTTTTTGTTGATGATTTTCTTTTATCGTGTGTTTTTCCAAAATTCAATCAATTTTGCATGTCGTGACGAAGATTATTATTACCTTTGTGTGGATATTTACCTGATGATAATGGTGTATGACGCAACTTTTGACTTTAGTCATTGACGTAACTAAAGTATTGGCTAAAGGTAGCTTCTCATCAGGGCCATTTTGACGATTTGACTAAAATAAAAGCCCTTGGCGTAATTAAAAACACTTGACGTAAGTAAAAACGCTTGATACAAAGTATAAAAACAATTGATACAAACAGCAATAATGATGATGATAAAATAAGATTATTATATCATTGTATGTATATTGCAATGATCGAGAATAATAATTATCATGTGAAGCTTACAAATGTTATAATTTTGAATTAGAAATATTACTTAATTAAACCACTGGTATAAAAATGTTTCTTCTTACAAATT